TACTATGATAGACATACTCCTAACCCTCGAGGATCTGTTTGACCACCAGTCACGGGCCGGATGCCCGACAAGAGGCTATGAGATTATGATGAATACACGCATGCATGAGGGTACTAAGGAGACATATTCTCGCGATCATGGCCCAACTCAAGAGCTGGAGGTTCTTGAGGATTTTATCGATGGGGAAACCCTAGTCGATATAGTGCTCTAGTCTCTGTCCAAGAGTTAAGATCAGTTCAGGCTGAACTACAACCTGAATAAGATGTTGTTGTCTCTACTAAAGCTGCTTGCGGAACTCCAATCAGCGGAGGGACTGTTTAGTAATAGCAGAGGAGGTTGTGTCTTCTTCTTTTAGGCCCAATAAAGGTAAAAAGATGAAGAAGTCTGCAGGAAAGGCAAAAACAAATGCATCATGGATTAAAACATAGAAAGTGTAAATGAAATCGCACCAAAGATGAACTGAATCCCTTAAACATGAAAAGCGTATATCATAAAGGAGACTGAAGATATGGGGATATTCAGTTAGTTAAGAAGGAAGATAAGAGAAAACTTCTTACCATACCAAGAGTCTCTTACTACTCAAGTAACTCTAACTATAAAAGGATATACATGTTCTTTATCTTACACAACACACATACACGCGCTAATATACTATTGCCTTATTATTGTTGAACACATACTGACTTGGGTATCGAAGTCTTTTCCACCGAGACCCCTCTGGCGTTTTGCAGATCATTGGAGACGTCAAAGCGATTCAAATTAACGGATCAGATGACAATAAGTTGCGCAACAATATATATGTGACAAAATTTTGTATAATTATTAATTATGCGATTCATTTGTATATAAAATTATAATATTGCACAATATTTTATGACTCTTGGAGTGAAAAAGAAATTGTTTGATATGTAATGTGAAAAAGCAAAAATAATAGAGTGAAAAAGACGTCCGCCCTAATATTTATTATAGAGAAAATTACCTAGTGCACCTTAGATTGCCGACTTTATTGCACAATTACAAGTCATGTATATTTACTTGCAAAATTACTAAATATATATATTTATTTACAAACCTACCAGAAATTGAATGTGCGATAAATTTGGTAACATTTTTTAAAGAAGTTATTATCAATCAACAGATTCCACAAATCAAGGCAATTCTCCAATCGTGTTTATCAGTTATCGCTCACATCTCAAACCACCCACTCTCGTTCGAAGGTATATTTACAATCGTGTCCACCGACGACGACGACTTGGACGACGAGGAGGCTAAGGATCGGCCGCTCATGCTTACCAAACACCCTTCTTTCACCACCGACACCCCCTCTAACTGCCACCAGCCACCTGCCGCTGACGATAAGGTGCCCCTGCCTCAGCAACTCACCGACAAATCATAAAACATGTCTATTATTACGCTTGCGAATGAATCAAGAAACTGAGTGGATGACAAGAAGAATCCGTCTCGTGTTTCCTAGAATTTGCCCATTTTTCCTTTCCTTTTTTTTTTCTTGTATGGTTTGATTTTGCTTTCAATAATAACAGCTTTGAGCTGTTGTGTGTGTTTAAGAGTTTGTAACCCTTGCACATATGTGTTGAAAATTTACCTAATTCGAAGTTATATTTACAACACATACACCAACATCTTAAATCAAGGTATATTTACTATAATCATTGAAATATATACTACACATACACCAACATTTTTTTATGGTATATTTTATGTATGTGTATTAAACATATATGAATATAACTAACATAAACGCAACATATACTCACCCTGGACACCTACGTGTATTACAATACATATTTTTTCTTTCTTTTTTTTTTCTTTTTAGTATTTGTAATGGAATATACACGATGATTAAGGGTGGAGTATTTAATTTGTATGGTTATTCATGATTTATAGTTAGTGTATTTTCAGTATATTTTCGGTATATTCTCAAAAGAGCAATATTTAAAAACAACGATATATATATCATTAAAAAACAATTAAAATAAACTATATATATACCATTAAAAAACTGTATATATTTATTAAAAATATGAAAAACCTATTTAATGAATTATCATAGATAAGACAAAAATATGAAATTAAAAAAAATGAACCCATTTTTTATTTTTTATTTTTTAGGTTGAAATGGATACATTAACTGCCTTTTAGGCATTAATAGTGGTATTGAAGGGAACTTCCGAATGTACATCCAATATAACAAATGTACATTCGTTATGGTTATTTTTCATAACTAAAATAATAATATATATATATGAC